GTAGACTGAAAATCAACTAAAAAATGCAAATTCAATGCACACACACCTTCTACATTCAGATTTACATAAATACAAATATATGAGTCCCCACCTACGCACCTTAAAAAATCTGAATAATGAGAAAAAGGAGAGAGAGAGAGAGAGAGAGAGAGAGAGAGAGAGAGAGAGAGACAGAGAGAGAGAGAGAGAGATTCCTAGCGTGGTTGCTGACAGTGATTAATTGTTCCCACATGTTGCTGACGGACAAAAAGGCCTCTGTGTTCCTGAGCTCTGGCTGCAGCTGGTGCACGCACACACACAGCTGGGGCCTGTCTCACGAAGCAAGTTCAGCTTCGTCAGGCTATCTTTGAGTTAGTTTGCTTCAGAAATGTAACACTGTTGAACTTGGATAATCGACCTCTTGGACAGTTTACTCCGTCGATCTAGCAGCTTTCAAGATTGGCTCAGGGGGAGTCTATAATGTCAGACCAATCATAGATAATGGTAAGATTCAATTATAAAATAAATTGACAACCCTTGCCCAGTAGTCTGCTCTAAAAGTGGGTAATTTGTATTCTTCTGTCATAAGGAATAAATGTTTACAATAAAAGAAGTAATTAAGTTAGAATATAAACAGATATACAGATATAAAACAATAAATGTTACTCATAATTAAAAACTACACTCTAACAGCTACCAGATATTAGTTATAAATACTTTCATATATCTACAGTGGGATATCCAGCCCCAAAGCAGGTTTTCATGATGATCAAAAGGAATAGTTCAATATTTTGGGAAATATTTGCTTTCTTGCCCAAAGCTTGATGAGAAGATCGATACCACTCTCATGTCTGTAAACTAAATATGAACCTTAAAATCCACCTACCAGTACGTCTAAAGCTCACTAATTAACTCATTATATCTTGAATGTTTTGTTTCACACAAAAAAAATATTTATTGGCCAGGCGCAGTTACTTCCTGGAGTCTTGCTGTTACCGTAAGGTTGCCAGGCAACCAGTTTCCAGTCTTTATTAGCCTAGGAACCAGACAAATCTGCCAAGCTCATGATGTTTCATTTGCTGTGCATTTACCAATTAGTCTGGTGATTCCAGGCTAAATGCTCAGCTAAGCTAACCGGCCGCTGGCTGTAACTTCATATAATCAATCTTCAAAAGAATGTTTCCCAAATGTCAAACTATTCCTTCAAAGTAAAGACATTTGTCAGAGAAGAATTAGAGAGAATGAGGAGGGTACAAAACAGAAAAATGGAGGGAATAATTAGTCGAGAGAGAAATCCCCAAAAATCCCTAAAATTACCCGGGTAGTGTCAAGAGCATCATTATCGCTTGGAAGGTTGTTGTTGCATGCTGTGTTAGTGTATGTGTGTTATTTAGCTCTTGTGGCTGCATAGCAGGAGTTATGAATCAGAGCTGCTGTCTCAGTGAGCTGTTTTTATTAATGGACTTTGGGAATACCCTAGAGGAACTGTACGGTAGTAAGCATACAGTATCCCACTCACACAGCGATGTGCCATGTACACACACAAACCCATGGAGTGCTGCAAATAACAAACCATAAAATGCTTATTCAATCACACTTGCTGCCTTAAAGGGCTTCACAATGGCGATATTTTGTAATAAAAGCACAACAGTAAATGAAATAGAACAAAGGATTCCAAGAAAGAGCTGTAATGCAGTATTGATTTCAGCTATTACATCTATTTCAGTTATGAAGGAGGAGGAAACGGGTTAATGATGGATGTTGAATTTAAAATACAGGACTTGGGATTTTCATTGCACGGAAGAAGAAACTCCCTCTGTGTATTATGAAGATTTTCTTAATGCTTTGTACGCAGAGAGCCTTCGGAGACTCTTTTTCCACATCTGAGGCTTGTTTGCCCCAAAAAGTCTGTCAGGTTTAGTGAAATGCTGTTACCAAACTCAGGTGTGATTTAAGAGCAGTTTAATAAACTCCTGGGAAGTTAAATTATATGAAAAATACATTAAGACTCATGGTAGCCAGAAATAAGATGTTGTGGTGTGCAGGAGAGACTGAATGTCTACATGAAATGTGAAGCAAAGAAAATAACCAGACATAAATGGTTAAAAGGTCAGTCCACTGAAATAATAAAAAAACATATTTTCCACTCACAGAACCACAAGTGTATCAGCAGATAGTTTTAGTTTTATCTGCCAAGATCTTTGTAACTGAGGCTTCTGCTCCATCCCAGTAAAATGGAGGTGAATAAAGTATATAAATATATCTCTAATATAATAAATCTATGAATTATCCAGACTAACATGTATAAGCTGGACAGTGTGTGGGAGGATCTACTACTACGATGTACTACACGCATACATCACACGTAATACTGATACATAGCAGGCTCATTTATTCTTTCTTTATTCTGCAGTCATCATCTTCTCACCCTCTTTCTCACCATCACTCACACATTTTTACACGGCACCCAACTTTTTATTTTTTTCTCCTTCTTTTTATCACTGTCCGTGCTTCGGTTGCAGATGTCCCTTTTCCTTTTATTGCTGCTCCATCACACCGAGTTAGAAATATCTCACCTGACATTTGAAGGATACGAGCAGTGGCACGGAAAAGAGAAACATTAAACAAGTGGCTCCGTTTGGAGGAGGGAGTTTGGAGGTGCGGGGATAAAGGTGGTGTAGGATGAAGTGAGGGAGAAGGATTGATGAAGTGTCAGCTGCTGGCAGGTAAATGTTTACAGCAGCGGGAGATTCCATTCATTCTGCTCTCATTCGTCCCTCCTAAAGTTCTCTTTTTCCTTTACAAAGTCCATCTTCTGCCATTATTTACATCTCCCTGGCAGCTGGAAGCATTCAGCTAGTGTGTGTGTGTGTGTGTGTGTGTGTGTGTGTGTGTGTGTGTGTGTGTGTGCGTGTGTGTTTGTGTATTGTGTGTGTGTGTGTGTGTGTGTGTGTGTGTGTGTGTGTGTGTGTGTGTGTTTGTAAAATGTTCTGTAATAAAGCAGCATTACGTCATGCCTCAAGAGATGCTGGCAGAGGATAAACACTGGTCTCACTGGTATCTCTTCTCATCTTACCTCATTTCACAGAATACACACACAAGCACACACACACACACACACACACACACACACACTGGGAACGTGCATTCACATACACACACCATTCATGATTAAATGCAACTTTTTATGGATTTGCTAATGCACAGCAGCGGTCACAAAAAGCACACAGTGTTGCAAAAACATTTACAATTGCAAAACACTCAAGAGCCTGCAAATGCAAAACTGGGCATTTCTGTATAACTTCTGAAAACACCTACATGCTCAAATACACACACACTCACTCACAGAGGGTCATAGGTTCAGTTTGGCCTCCAGACATCAAACTTTCTTACTCTGCCAATGTAGCATTCAGAATTCGTAACTTAAGCCTGCTTTTTCTCCTCTCTGATTGAACCGCCTTTGACCAGAAAAACAATCCAGACCAAATTGTCTGTAAACTGTTGCCCAGGACAGACGGGACTGCTTCATGGAAAACAATATTGTGATTCCCACAAAACTCGAAAATGTTGGCCCTCGTAGTTTGGAACAGAGAAATCTGTTCTGTTTTAGGGAGTAAAAATATACATGGGAGGAAAACAGAGAGGGAAAAATGCGTGCATGTTGTGGATGGCGGTTGGGTTGTTTATATGAGAGGATATAGCATAGCCCCAGAGTCCCTCAGGGCCCATAAGAGCTGTGTGTTTGTGAAACAACAGAACCTGCGGAAGAGGAAAAGGGTATGGAAAGAGAAGGAGACTGAGGCAAAATAATGAATTGAACAAGACCTTTGGTAGGTTGTGGGGCACAAAAAGAGGAGTAAAAGGACAAAAGTCAAGTCAAAAAGGTCTTAACCATATATACTAATTATCCAGAATGGAACAGTTTCCTTAAAATGCTGTTTTATAAACGTTTAAAAGCTACTGTTATTTAAATGGTGCTTGGGTTTTATGAAAACAAAATGTTTTTCTGGCCTTTGTCTTTCTTCTTGTGGTTTAAATGTAACCCAACATTGAGACATCAATCTTTTGGAAGCATTTAGTCATAAAACAAAGTACTAGACAATTTGAATGGTGGCTGACTCTAAGTCAGTACGTTCATCCTCTGGGGACAATGAATCTTGTTACAAAATTTCAGGGAAATCAATCCAGTAGATGTTGTCTCAGTTTGGACCAAAGTGGTAGACCAGCGAATAGACATTGCCATCTCTAGAGTCATGCCACTAGCAACTAAAAACGTGTGTACAACTGCTACGGCATCAGTGTATAAAAGAAAGAATGCCTGTCTGATAAGCGTAGATGTAAACAAAGCAAGCAGTGAGGCAACATGTGATTCAACAGTCTTGCAGCCGTTTGGGCTTTTAATGTATACATGCATCTCTGTGTCGTGAATAAAACTCTTGATCATTACCAGGGGCTGTCATGTGCACCAATTCCCTCACTATTAGACTCTGGGGCTCGCACAAGGAAGGAGTTGATCAATACGCACCAGCCAAGACTCACACACAGGCATGCACCAACACACATGATCAGACACAGAATGCGCTCCTCAAGCAACACAGGGGCTCTTTGTATGTGTCATTCATAATCGAGGAGACGCTTGATTATAGACCACTGTCTCTCTTTTCTCTTTTATACCCATGACACAAAAGCTACAGTGGGAACAATACAGACATCAGTACTAAGTGCTGCTGCTGCACGTTAATGTCTTCTTGTCTATATTTTCTGAACAATTGAGACAACAAGATTTTGGCTTTGTTTGTGTGTCTAGTCACCAAGAGCAACTGTTTACATCGCTGCAGAATCAGCAGTTGTGGGTGGTTTATGGATCAGTGTTGGACTTAATGAGAGGTATTCATTGAAAGTTGTATTGGTAAAAGGAAAGAAAGAATGCAACAAATCAATATTGATGACAGTCATTGTTTGGGTAATTGGATTTTACACACATCACTTAACATAGTCTCTTTTTCTCTTTTGTGTTACAGAACTCCATCCGGCACAACCTTTCCCTCCACAGCCGTTTCATCCGCGTTCAGAACGAGGGAACAGGGAAGAGTTCCTGGTGGATGATCAACCCAGAGGGAGGGAAGGGTGGAAAGGCCCCTCGCCGCCGTGCTGTCTCCATGGACAATAGCAACAAGTACACCAAGTCCGCCCGTGGCCGTGCTGCCAAGAAGAAGGCAGCCCTGCAAGCTGCAGCAGCTGCTGCCGGCGAAGGGGGTGGAGATAGTCCTTCAGGTCTCTCCAAGTGGCCTGGAAGCCCAACGTCACGCAGCAGTGAGGACCTAGACGCCTGGACAGACTTCCGCTCACGCACAAATTCCAACGCCAGCACACTGAGCGGTCGCCTTTCACCCATTCTGGCCAACCCTGAGCTAGACGAGGTGCCAGATGACGAGCCTCCTCTCTCGCCGATGCTCTACTCCAGCCCTGGCAGAGCACTGTCTCCCGGCAATGCCACGACCAACGGGAAGCCTGTGCCGACTGAGCTGCCCCGCCTGGCAGACCTTGCAGGTACAATGAACCTGAATGACGGACTCACAGACGACCTGATGGATGAGTTGCTGGATAACATCAATCTGGTGCCAACCGTTACAGGACAGCCAGCTACAAATGGTTCCTCAGGATTCAACTTTGGGTCTAAACCCAACGTGCTAGGCACACCTTCCTCCACTTCCTCTCCCGCATCCAACCCTTCTCCTAATGGTGGAGTTAATGGTTACAGTAACTCTATCTTTGGCCCCCACACGACGGGATCCTCTTTGCGTCCGTCCCCCATGCAGACCATCCAGGAGAACAAGCAGACCTCCTTCTCCAGCATCAGCCTGTCTCGCTTTGGCAGTCAGACACTACAAGACCTGCTCAATTCTGACAGCCACAGCCACAGTGATGTCATGATGACCCAGTCTGACCCACTCATGTCACAGGCCAGCGCTGCCGCCGTCATTTCCCAGAACTCTCGACGTGGCCTCATGCTCCGTAATGATCCCGTAATGACCTTTGGGACCACTGGAGGACTTCAGGGCAGCCAAGGGGAGATGTTGCAAAGTAACAACCACAACCAGAGCTCCCTGAGGTCTTTAAACGGGGGCCTGAACCTAGCCAACGAGGCTAACGTTCTGGCTAATGCCAAGCAGCAGCTCCTGCTCTCACCTTTGGGGGGAAATGGTTCCTCTTCCATGCAGATTGACACCTCGATCTTTCTAAATGGAACCGTTAGCAGCAGTGGAGGGATCTGCCAGGACCGTTTCCCCACAGATCTGGACCTGGACATGTTCAACAGCAGCTTGGAGTGTGATATGGACTCCATCATCAGGAGCGAGCTGATGGACGCAGATGGTCTGGACTTTAACTTTGACTCTCTGGCCAACATGAACGGAGTCGGCAACTTCACGAACACCAAGCAGACCTCTCAAAGCTGGGTACCCGGCTGAGAGGGTCAGGCCGGGAAGGAGCAGAGCAGGTGTGTATGTTTGAGTGTGTAGAGGTGTATATCATGTGGTATTTGAGCAAAGGTGAGCATATACAAACTAAATTTCCCCATTGTGGGATAATAAAGGATTATTTTATGTTATCTTATTTAGAACTTTTTCTCCCCCAATACTGATTCTGACACCTAAAATCAGATCAGATCTTTCTTTTTCAAAATATAAAAATATGGAAGAAGTGTGCAAGATCACTTCTTAACTATTGGTGGAAACGTTCATATACCATCATGCTTTCTAGGTTTGTGATTTTATATATATACTGCTTAGAAGGTTAGAACAGATCTGAAAAAAACACTGAGATGCTGTTATAAACCATAATCGGAGTCCATGCTCTAATCCCCACATCTGAATCCATATGGTAAAGATTCTCTCAACGTAATTACATGCTGCTGTGTCTCTTCACCAAACCACTTCAACTGTGCATCGCTTCATCATTTTTCCCAATGATGCTAAAAAAAGTAGCTGCCCCAATAGTTTATTCTCCAGTTGCTGAAAGTTTGTTTGTTTGTCAGTCCTCGTTTCCTGGGCCATTCTCATTTATCAAGATTTGTTCAGCATGTGATAGAATGTTTTACATCCAAGCAAAGTTTTAAAATGATGTCCTAGTCATAAAAAAGTCTTTATCTACTGGTGAGTAGAAACATAATGTTCCTGTAAACACTTCTGGTTTCACCATAAAAAGCCGACCACTACCTTTACATTAAAATAAATACTTTCTTTTTTACTTACTATTACTCAGACATAATTATCTCGCCCCTTTATCTTTCCAGGTCTGAACTATGTAGTGCAAGAGAAGATCAGACACACAACATCCTTTTTGCCAAACCTGCCATCAGCACAACGTAAAATACAAACCCTGTGTTTACAGAAGAAGACTTCCTCTTGAGAGCTTTACCTTCGCTCCCACACTGGTGAACCATGAACGAACTGACAGACTCTAGAGATGCTGCACATCAGCCCTTAAAGCCTCCTGTGAAACAACAACAACAACAACAAAAAGAAAGCTATGTCAAACTCACAAATCTTAGAATTATGCAATTTTCCTTTGACATTCAGTCTGTTGATATCAAAGAGACACTGCTTATCAGAGGGGGTTTCAGGTGGAATACAAGGACTAAATATCAAGCGAGGATTGAAGGAGTGCACGGTGCAGTTGTTCCAGTTGAAGACAAAAAAGACAAAAGTGTAAAGTGAAAAAATCAAGAAGTGATGTGATGTAAATCTGATCCAGTGGTTTCTTGGGATGTGTTATGTTGAAAAAAGAATTTCCCTCTGTTTTCACTTAGTGATTTTAAATGTTCAGTGTTTGTTTTTTGGATTTTCTGTTTTATCATAACTGTTTCTGCCTCATACATGTATGTACAGAAAGAATTGGTTTATTGATGAAATGGAGAGATGGAAATGGAGTATCTTGGCCATGCATACAGTACATGCAAACACACAAACAGACAAACTTACACTTCACCCCAGTTTTGCAAAACCTCCGAACCCTTATGGTGTGTTCAGACTGAAAACGAAGCAAAATTTCACCAGCCGTTACCTGCGCGATTATGGCAGCTGGAGTGTTTCACAACCTGCGAATAATCTCCCGAACAGCCAATGGGAGTATTAGTTTAGTACAACCAATAGCTTGTATCAAGTAACAAATATATATTCTAAGAACTTACCTTGTAGTTCTGTCTCTACACAGTAAAGACGTTGAATCATAGAACTCCAACTGCCCACAGACAGTGACAATAATCAACTTGTGATTCTCTGTGACGTCAGGAGAATCTCAACACTGATAGGCTCTCACGATAGACAGCATCACATGAATTTTACACTCAAGTTGAAACCTTTTCAACTCATTTTAACATTTTAATCAGATTATGCGTTCGGTCTGAACACACCATTCGAAGTTAAGATTCCCATCTTAATGCCATGCACTTCCAGTTTTGTTCTAATGAATTGCTTGAATTAAATGAAATGCCGTATACTGAGGTGTTTCATTACAATTAGCTGAATATTACGAAAAAAATATTTGTTATCTTTTGTGTATATCTAACTGTAAAAAAAGAAGAAAAAAGACTAGAGGAAGAAAATCTTTATCATGGGTATTTGTACAGTGCAGGGCAGTGGAAAGGTCAAGAAACCGGGGGAAAGATCTTGTCTGTGTGTTCTTAGATTTCTTAACTTCTAGTGAGTTCTGTTAAGGTTGTTTATCACTGCATATGATGTAGCCAAAATGAATACCTGTGTCCTAGGGTTGTGAACATTTCCACACCATAACAGGTGCTATGTAAACAGTGTTGAATCCTGCCCTGAGAGCAAGCCGTGCATTTTGTGTGTTCGTTTTGTTTCTGTTTTTACTCAACCACCTGCAGAAGCCCAAAGCTGCAGCAACTTGTAGCACGGCGAGGTTGAACCTGTAGACAGCAGAGGGGTGGGTGGGTGGGCGGACAGTGGGGTTTGGGTGGGATCAGGGTTGTAGGCTCATTCCTCTAGAAGCCATTTGTTTCTTGAGTAAAACAATAAGCTATCTCTGTATATTGCCAAATTACTTGAAACAAACAGTAGGATATGCTGGCAGCCAAATCACAGCACACATACAGTACACACACATGAACACACACATAACACACACACAAAAAGAAAGAAAAAATAATACCAGGGATCTGTGTTAAGCTCTGCTGTTTTCTTGTCATGAGCTTGTGGGGCTTGTTATGCATATATAGAATCACTCAGGGGGGAATTTGAATAACATCAAGTCACATTCTAATGGTATTTTAACATTTCTGATAAAAACAGTAATGCTTTGTGTTTGTGAACTTGTAACCTGTGAACTTTTGGTCGTCAAGATGAAGAGGAAGAAGGAAGATAAACGTCAGGATTAAGACTTCATGCGGTCTGTTATTTTTGGTTTTTGCTTTCATAGCTTTTTTTCCTCTTGTTCGGACTCGTGACACACATACACACACCCCCTCATGGACACGCCTGGTGCTCCTGCAGGTGACTTCCTGTATCTCCTGAGTACATGTTAATGTGTGTGTGTGTCTGTGTGTGTGTATGTGTTTATCTGTGGAGTTTATTTCTGTTGAATTAATCTCACGAGGATGTGTAAATCCCTCACTATCCCTCATGGCGCATACAGCACAGACGACTGTATGCATGTATGTATTTATGCATTATGAATTGTGTGAAATGCATATATACTCGCTGTATGTCCTTATATACTCATGTAGTACTTGACCCTTGGATTTTGTGATACCTCTGAAGGTAAAGTTGAAGAAATAATGAACAACGTTACACGCCAGGTGGGAGGGAACACTGTTACCAGCGATTTAACTGAACCAGATTTTTAAAAATGGTAGAAAGCACCATTGTTGTAGCATCTGGACACCCTGGTATCCCTTCTCTGTGTATGGAGTGTATGCCCCGCTGTGTATAATAGTGTACAGATGTGTGTATATCATTTTGAGGCCAAGGCAGAGGAGTGTGTGTGCATGGTTGGCTAAAATGATCTACTGTGCTATCTGAGGTTTAGTGCATGACCTAGCTGTACCCCCCTCGACCCTTCCAATGGTGCCGTCCTGCGACAGAAATTGTAATACAGAGAGGAACCCTGTGTCTTTAGCACTCAAACACACACTTTCTATTTTTAAAATCAGGGCTCGCAGTGCAGCACTTGCACCATCCTCCCATATTAATGGGTTTATTATTACGAGTGTGTGTGTGTGTACATCGTTGCAGACACAGGGAAAGCCTCTTTAAACGGACGTTCCTCGGCTTCACACTCGTTTATTCCATGTGGAGTACAGTAGGTTCACGTCCTGGTGCTCTCAGTGAGCGTTTGGTTTTAACGTTGATGTGGTCAAAGCGTCACCTGACAACAAGCTGGAATTTCCTACACCGTGTCAAAATTTCCAGAGCATTATCACATGTCTTTTGGCAGGGGGAATCCTGAGCCATCACCTGAACTGCTAAGCATTTAAATTCATCCACACTGACTGTACGGACTTTTAAGGGGTGCTTTACTCCTCCTGTGAAGAAGGCCGACAAGGTGAATCCAGGGAGCTGTGTAATCCTCTCTATTTAAAGAGGGGTTACTGATCCTTGATAAACTGCAAATCTCAATCGCAGGAAAGTGTTCCTTACATTTTGTACATTCAGTGTAAAATGTTTTGGCTATTCGGGGAGATAGTTTACACTTAGTCATAGTGGAGCAGGCCTTCCACACAACCACTCAGTGCTACTGCTTCATTCAGGCACAGATTTTCTCTTCTTGTGTCCAACACACACACACACACACACACACACACACTTGCAGCACAACACGTGCAAATTTAAAGCTAAGAGAAGCAAAAAAAATAGAAGAGACATACCACTAGATACCTTAATCACCTCTTGGATATTTCCTTTTCATTATCTTCTCTCAAACCTTTTCCATCCTTGTTTAGAGGCCCAGGCCAGCTTCCCTCCATACGCCCTCTGAACTTTGCCCTTTGAACTTCTCCCTTTATTAATCTTGCTTCTTCTCGACTTGATGTTAGTGGGTATTTTTCCTGTGTATTCCATTTTGAATTGTAATCTAGTTTGTATAAGAAATGGTGCGCATGTAAATAAAGCTTGGTGAGGCTCCACACCCTTTCTGTCTCCTTGTCTTAGCTCATTTTATTGCTGTAAAAATATGAAAGTATTACAAGTACTGCAATTTCATGAGTGCTGTGGAAGCACAGGGCCGCTGTTAACAGCTCATGTTGCCACGAGAGGAATTTCCAGCCCAGCGAGGAAATTGTTACAGCCCTCGCCTGCCTTACATGTGATGTTAATTCACAAGTTAACTTGCCAACTGTTTTCCAAAACAGTGTGTGTCTGAGCGCTTGTGCATGAACAAATTTAACCTCACACTCCCTCCAGAAGATAAATCTCTTTCTCATGTCAGTCTGGAGGGAACAGCAAAACAACTCCATGTTCTTCTCAAGTTCCTGGAAGTCCTCTTGCACAATGTTTGTTTTGTGTAAAGCTGCATTAAACGAGAGCAGACGTACAGCACCCCTCTGATACCACTGGGCTGGGTACCTTTCCTCGGTTGTTGCGAAACATAAAGGGAAAGGGGGAACCGTGAGAGATGGGGGTCACTTGCATGTCGGAAATTTCCCCCAGGCCTCTGCGCCAAATGTTAACACAGACCCTGGCTGGGCTGCTCTGCTGATACTCTCCTTATTCCCCCTTGTTTCCTCCCCTGTTAAGAACAGCCAATAGACCACTTCCCCCCTCTACCAGAGGTCAAGCCTGTTATCATAAAAAGATTATTTCAGATTATCCTGTAATTTAAATGTATGTCTGTGCGTGGAGTTTGTTTTACGGGTTCACTCTATGGGTTCCTCGTCCACAAAGCTGAAAGATTCTCTAGGAACCTTTTAAAGAATGCTCCGCCATTTATGAGAACTTTAATGTATTTTTTATCTTCTTAGAGAAATTGTATTGATCTTGACAGTACTAATGAAAGCTTAGCCTTTCATTCAATTAATTCCAATCAATTACTGATTGCACATGAGAGGACTTAAATGACCATAAGTAATAACATCTGATTATCATGAGAGCAAAGGACGTCTAGCGAATGTCTAAAACATCCCGTCCCACTATCTCATCTGACGTTTACAGAGACAAGTGCACAGATATGGTGAATACACTACCACAAAAGAGATAAATTACAAAATGACTTCACCTTTTTTCACTTACATCTTTACTAACAATGTATAACAATGATCATAATGTAAATAAGATCATCAACACATCATTAAAAGTTAAACCAGAGAACTTCCTGACCAGTACTACAATGTAGACCAGTTATTATAAAGCAGATTTTTGTGTTTGTAATTTCAACAGTGTAACATGGGCAAGAAGTTGATCTGTTTTAGTCATTACTTCCAGGTTTTTAGCAGCTTTTGCTGGAAATGCTAAAGGTGTGAACACAGAAATACATCACTGTGGATTTTAGTAATTTTCTAATGGTGCAATAATCAGAAGGAACACAGCTTTTATTTAGAGCACTGATGTCATGTTGTGGTATTGTTTCTGGGAATTTGGGATTATTACAACCTGGAGTTCACATCCTTCAGTTACAGAAAACTTCCACATGGTGGGTTTTTTTTAAGGCTTATAGTCAGTATCTTTAATTAGTGTTTTTTCCAACACAATGATATTCCTGGCAGCGTAAAGAATCCTTTGAAATTTTGCATTTGGGTCCTCATGTAGAAAGATAAAATATCTCCGTACTGTACATGAAAAAGGTTAACATTTATTATTATTTTATAACTTTTACAGGGTTTTCTGGGGCTGCACTGGAAGAATATGTTCAATGTTTCTAATCAAGACTTGCTAGCTAATAATTACTGTTAACAAAGTGATTGTACGTCACCAAACTTTACACAACATTATAAACATTAACACCGAAGTGGCAAAAACACATTTGCTCTTTAAAGCTTTAGAGACTCTGCCACCACCCACATTTATAGTATCCTCTATATTGTGAACATACAATTACAGTCAAAGTACTGTATATTCTCAGCACTGCACTGACTTCAGTCCTTGTCAGAGTAAAAACCAGTCTGAATGATTTATGAAACCCGAGCTGTGTTGTCATATACAGTATGGTACACTCATAACCACACTGTTTGTCATCGTTGCCAAACCCAAGACATGCATCAGGTACTTTAGGTCTACCAATGTGGCCCTTTCATTTGTACTCAAATATACAAAAGAACCTCAAACAAACACAAAGTCCTTTCTGTCTGCTTGGTATCTTCAAGCTCCTCTTTCATGACGAGGGGACATTTTAGAAGGGATGAAAGAAAAAGAAATACACTGTGCTCCCCCAAACAGTCATTGCAAAGCTCAGGGTTGACTGCAAACTCTCAAATACTCAAACATGCTTTATGACTGAGAGAGCAGGCTCACCACAACTCTAAATACCAAACCCACATTTCAATAGCAGTTCACAGTCAGCTGGTCACCTGACTGACTACATGTCTGGCCTGGCTGCAGTCACACCAGTCTGCACGAGGTCACTGGGGTTATTGTTTGGCTGGAAACTCTTCTGAAGTTTTTTTCATATTTTCTCAATTATTTTTAGAGCAACTACAAACTAGAGTTAAGATTTAGTGATTTTGAGCCAAACTATGTGTCTCATCCTTACCCTAGCATGATGATCGGCATTATTTTTAGCTTTAACTTGACATAAAAACTAAATCTGGCTCTAAGATTTTCACTTTTGTATAGTTAAAACATTCCAAAGCTATATGCTCATGTCATTTCAT